CGTGACCCTGCTTTCTACAACCGCTTCGCCGGTCGCAACGACTTGCTCTCCTACGCCGCCGAGAAGGGCATTCCCGTGACCTCCACCAAGTCCAAGCCCTGGTCTATGGACGAGAACCTGGCCCACTGCTCCTACGAGGCCGGTATCCTCGAGGACCCCGACGTCACTCCCCCCGCCGACATGTGGAAGCTCACCCAAGACCCTCTCACCGCCCCTGACCAGCCCGAGGATTTCACCGTCCACTTCGAGAAGGGCATTCCCGTCAAGCTGGAATACACTGAGGGTGGCCAGAAGAAGGTCGCTACCGACGCTGTCGACCTTTTCCTGACCGCCAACGCTATTGCTCGCCGCAACGGTGTTGGTCGTATCGACATTGTTGAGAACCGTTTCATCGGTATCAAGTCTCGTGGTTGCTACGAGACCCCTGGTCTCACCTGCCTGCGCGCTGCTCACATGTGAGTTTCCTCGATCTGTCTTTTCTGGCTGTCTCTAATCCGACCACAGTGATCTGGAAGGTCTGGTTCTAGACCGTGAGGTCCGTGCTCTGCGGGACCAGTTCGTCACCTTCAACTACTCCAAGGTTTGTTTTTGCCAGGCCGAGTTACTTGTAGGGTGGACTACTAACAGCACCTCAGCTCCTCTACAACGGTCTCTACTTCTCCCCCGAGCGTGAGTTCCTCGAGGCTTCCATCACTGCTTCCCAGAAGACCGTCAACGGACAGGTCCGTTGCCGCGCCTACAAGGGCAGCGTCTCCATTCTCGGCCGTTCCTCCGAGACCGAGAAGCTGTACGACATGTCCGAGTCCAGCATGGACGAGATCGGTGACTTTGCTCCCACCGAGACCACTGGCTTCATTGGCGTGTCCGCTATCCGTCTGAAGAAGTACGGCCAGATGAAGCAGGCCAACGGCGAGAAGATGTAAAGCATGTGTTTGAGCATAATTTAGGATGGGCTGCTTGCGGCCTTGGGTCTTTTCGGGTATCTTGTTTTATATTATACATCTATTTAGCACTTGACGTGTAACGGAATACAAAAGAATGAATGATCATCCTGAACCATCAACCGGCATGCCGTGTGTCATAATCTGTCATAACTGATGATAGTGTCGTTCCATACCGCGCAAACTCCTTTCGAATTCGGTGGCAGCAGTAATCCCGGGTCATTTAGCTTCCCCAGATTCTGTAGCCAGTTGAGAGCAACCTTTAGCATGACACCATCCCAATTACCCACGGCTATGTCACGAATAGCCTGCGCATGTGTCTCTTCAGCACACAGAACAAGCTCAGTGCCAGCAGCCTGACTCGACGAACCGAGCAACTCCCCAAACTGCCGGATATCATCCACATAAACCTCGTCCGTACCCGCGAGGAGCAAAACCTTCTTAGCAGGAACAGACCCCCAAAACTCCTTCGTCCCAGTCAGCGGCGTCGCCCACACCTCCTCCTTCGCAGGCTCCCAGTGCGAATTGAACACCTCCATCAGCGCCTTACTAACAATATCCTTAGAAGCATTATACGTATAGCTCTCAGCATCGCACGTATTCGCACAGCGCGGACTGATACAGAGCACCGCGCGGAGCTTCTGCTCCTGCTGCTGCTGCAGATCCCCCTCTAAAACAGGCCGAACCAGCGGATGCGGGTCCCGCAGATGCGCCAGCACGCCCAGCGCAAGGTTCCCGCCCGCCGAGTCGCCCGCTATCGTTACCTCCGCGGCATCATGGTCCTGCAGCAAGTACCGCAGCGCGGCGGCCGCCTGCGCCAGTTGGCCCGGGTACTTGAGTTCCGGCGCGAGGGTGTACTCGAGCAGGACGCATTTCGCGGTTAGTCTTTGTGCGGCTGCGCGCGCGAACTTGAAGTGGCCGGTGGATAGGGGGGTGATGTACCCCCCGCCGTGGAAATAAAGCAGCACATTGCCGCTGGGGCTGCGCGCGGTGGGGTCACAGTCGATGAAGTGCAGGGTTGCGCGGGGGAAGGCGCTGCCTGCGTCTAGTTCGATGGTCTCATGGCGGAGACTGTAGGCTTTACAGAGTGAGGCGATGGTGCTTCCTGATGGGCGTTGGAGAGCGCGTGCTTGAGGGAGCGGGAGCGAGTCAGCTACGCGGGCGGTGTTTCTCATCCAGATTGTGCTGAATGAAGCGGAGTCGCGGTTGAAGAGGAGATCCCGGGTGATCCTGAAGATGAGACGGGGCAGGGAGATGAGAACCCTTGTGAGTAGTTGGAGTCTTTGGAGCAGGGTGAGCTGCGGCGCGAGATGGCTTTTCGCTCCGAGGGCCGTCATTTGTGTAACGGCGTAGGTGTATTACTCGAGCGATGATTATCAGTGCTTATTGCACATTTATGAGCTAGCAGTAGAAGAGACCCATCTCTGCCGTTTTGAGAAGATGGATGGTGAAGTTGATGGACGGACTTTTTTAAGATAGAATCACGTGCCTGCGTCAACATCGTGCGAATGAATCGCGCTGGTTTTATGCTTCTTCATAACTCATCCATCAAGGTGCAATAACAATATGACAATCTGGATTGCCAAGGTGTCAAGCTCACAAGCGAGGTGATCTAGTGAAAGCCTACGGAGTACTCCAATCGAATTTGCTGCCTAAATGATGACAGTCATTCGTCGCATTCCGTGTCCATTAAGCCAGGTTGGCCCACCCCGATGACGATGATCACGTCGGATAGATCGATTCATCCGACTATGCTCCTACTGTTGCCCTCCCCACTCCGTCATTACAACATTGCAAAAGAGTCAGAATCAAACTAAGTCAATAGGCTGCTTGATATCTGTGTCTAAAAGCCAGGGATGACATGCAGTTTATCGGACCCACCCTCGACGATCTGCTATTTCAAACTTCTGAAGCCTCCAGTTGAGAGCTACTCATTCTCAGTCTTGCGAATAGCGACCAAGAGTCTTAGTCTTTCCATTAGCTGAGATTTTGGCATCTCCAACACAAGGGCATAAGCTTCCCGGGTGAGCTTTACATGGTAGAGACCTAGCCACCTCTTAAGACATCCTGAATTAATCCCAAATCAGGCAGCAGTATACTTATATCGATATTCGATACTCACAAACAGCCCAGGCTGGCATGTCTTCATTTGAGCAATTGAGTTCAACTCTTTCAGCCAGGTTCTCATAAGGTCTCTCCGTCGCCTATTCAAGATGACGATCAAGATCCCATGGCCGGTAGTTTACCTTGCCATTGCAGCCTCCGTCTACATGAGACCTCAATATACGATCCTTGACTCACCAACGGCGACATTCGTCGTGCTGTCTCTGGCTGTTACTTCGTTCAGGATCATCTATGCCCTCGTCCTGTACCCTAAATTTTTCACACCTATAAAACACATTCCCACACCTCCGGTAAGAATCTTTATTGCACGGACTGAGCAGGTTCTAAACCTATAATAACAGAAATGGTCATGGCTCACTGGAAATACGAGCTCATATCTCATCGAATCGCCTTTCGAAGAGATGATCGAATGGGCTTACAAAGTGCCCAACAACGGATTAATTCGTTACTATATTGTTGGCAATCTCGAACGTGTATTGCTAACGAACCCTAAAGCCCTAAGTGAGCTCCTTGTCACCCAGGTATACGGGTTTCCTAAGCCTCAGATGGTAAGGCAAAGCCTTGCCCGCGTCACAGGGAAGCATGGCGTGCTACTCGTCGAGGGAGACGAGCATAAGGTGAGCGGTCTTTGCTGGTCTGAACGTGAATCCCGACTCATGGAGCTGCATCATGCAGAAGCAACGAAAGAATCTTATGCCGGCTTTCTCATACCGCCACATAAAGAACCTCTACCCCACTTTCTGGTCCAAGAGCATCGAAATGGTCAAGCTGATCGAAAAAGACCTTCATAACCGAGCAGACGCCAAAGACAATATTGTTCGCGTGAGCGAATGGGCCAGCAGAGCAACGCTAGACATCATCGGTGTTGCAGGAATGGACCATGACTTTGGTTCTCTCCACGATTCTAACAACGAACTGACCAAGCACTACCGGCGGCTCCTCGCAGAGCCGCCGCTCGCAATGCGTATCATTTTTGTCTTTGGCGTCCTATTCGGGAGCGTCGGAGTCGTGCAAAGCCTCCCACTGAAGCGAAACCGCGAGATTCGCGAAAGCTCTCTCTACATCCGCGACGTGGCCCGCCAAATGATCCGCAAAAAGGAAGCAAAGATGAAGAGCCAAGCATCCGCCGAAACCGGGACGGACATCATCTCCGTGGCCCTGGAAAGCGGCGCCTTCACCGAAGAAGAACTCGTAGATCAAATGATGACCTTCCTCGCCGCCGGCCACGAAACCACCTCCACAGCGCTCCAGTGGTCAGTGTACGCCCTGTGCAAGCATCCGGACGTGCAGACGCGCCTCCGCGAGGAAGTACGTGCCCACCTTCCCCCCATCTCACCGGAGCACCCCGAGCCCCTCTCCGCAGCCACGCTCGACTCCCTCCCTTACCTCAACGCCTTCTGCAACGAGGTCTTCCGCTTCCACCCTTCTGTTCCAGGCACCGTGCGCGACGCAGCCAAAGACACTACACTTCTCGGATACCCTATCCCCAAGGGCACGAGGATACTCGTCTCTCCGGAAGTCATCAACCACAGCAAGGCATTGTGGGGTCCTGACGCGGACCAGTTTAATGTTGAGCGGTGGTTGGGTCCCGGGCGAGCGAATACCGGCGGTGCCAGTAGTAATTACTCGTTTTTGACCTTTTTGCATGGCCCGCGGAGTTGTATCGGCCAGGGGTTTGCAAAGGCTGAGTTGGCCTGTCTTGTTGCGGCTATTGTGGGACGGTTCCAGATGGAGTTGAAGGACCCGGATGCGAAGCTTGAAGTGAGACTGTCGGCCACGGTTGCTCCAAAGGATGGTGTGCTGGCTAGGTTTACCCCGTTGGAGGGGTGGTAAGGCGCATACTGTGCTGATTACATGTCTCGTCGCTTGCACAGATCGCAGCTGCAGGTACTTTCAGCTAGATAAGTCTAGGGATGGCGAGCATTATATCAACAGCTACTGGTATTCCTCCCTGAAAACCATTACCCTCTCAACATCCTTCCCAGTAGCATCTTCCTCCACCCATGCTCGCCACATCCCTCCGCAGTTGAAATCAAACACCACCTTCCCCCGACTCAGGCTCTTCTGCTGCTCTGCGTGCAGACCGGCACCAGTAGCATCCAAAACAGTCTCGGCCTCGATCCCAATGATTCCCGCCTCACCTTCCCCAGTCTTGCCCCATCGGCGGCCCGCGGAACGCTGAAGTTCTCCATCAGGGCCGGCAACCGCACTAACGGCGTCCGCGAGAGAACGAGGAACCGATGCCTGGGAGTATCGAAGCATAGCACAAGCGGTGCGAGCCGCCGCAACGCGCAGGAAGGAGTCCCCGTTTCCGGTCCCTGACAGCGCAACGGCTCGTCGTTTGACACGCCGCGGCAAACCTTCCTGCTCAAGGAGTGCCTGTTTCTCGGAGCTGTGCTCTAGACTGCGTAAGCGCGTATCCGGCCACAGCAACCTGTTCACCACCGGCGGGATGCACTCGGCTACCATCCGCTTAATGGCTGCAGTTCCCGAAGAAGCATCCTCCGCATCGCGCGGGTCCGACATTGAGGACCGGTATACCATACCCATACCCTCGGCCTCGGGCAACACCTCCTCCCACGCCTCAGCCCAAAACCCCGCCCCGAGCGTCGGTGTATCCCCAATCCGCCCCGGAAGCTTATTCGTCAGCCCGCCCGTACTCGTCGCAACAACCAGATTCCCCCACCGATCGAGACACACACACCCGACCGTCCCCTGGCTCATGGAGACGGGCTCCGCCTCCCCATTCAGCCCGCGCCGATGTTCCTCCCACCGCCTCTTGGTCCAGAACCACCTGTCCGGTTTGAACTCCAGCCCCCACGCACGAGCGAGTTCCTCCACGTACGGCGCCATGAGCTGCGAGTGCACGTTCCCGCCGTCGCCGTTCGGGTTGCCGTTGGCGTCGTGGCCTGTTCGGAGGAGACATTCCCTGGCGAGCTGGATCGGGTGCCGGACGTTTCTTAGCCCCATCACGCCCACGCCTCGTTTGATGGAGCCGGCTATCTCGTCGGTGGTCTTGTTGACGGTTGTGACCATCACGGAGGCTTCCATTTCGATTGTCCCTGCCGAGGTGAACACGCTGCCGCGTCCGCAGTTGAAGAGCTCGTCGTCTTCCAGCAATGAGACGGCGTGGACGGCTGCGTCTAGGGCGCTGGCGCCGCTGTTCAGGAGGTCTTTCGTTGAGCGGAGGTAGGAGAGGAGGGACGCATGGTATTGAGCGTAGAGGTCCGGAGGAAGTCTCGAACGTTGGATATTGCCTGCGCCGCCGTGGATAATGAGGGCAGGCTTGAAGCTCGCTGGGATGGAGTCGGACATTGTTTCTTGTTTTGCTGGACGAACGCTCATGAGAGGGGTTGATTGAACCTGGCTGCTTGACGAATCTAGGTAGCTTCAGGTAGTAAACACCACGATGCAAAGATGCTGAAATAGTCAATTAGACAAATAAGAAACTTCACCAACCAGATTGAGTTTGATTGAGAGAATCTGCAATCGGGATGATGAGGTTGTTGTGTCATGCGCTGATCGGCGGCCGAACACCGTAGCCTGCCTTACCCCTCTGCAAAGTAAGATTCCCTCCGCCATCTCCAAACCTGAGGGATTCTGGCCACGCCAGCCGCAAAAGAGAAGATAGGACAATCAATGTGTGCTGAGAAGTCAGATTAGACCTGTTTATCTGCATGTTAATGTACAAGAAGTGGATGTGCCCAACAAATCCCAGGGACCTGTGCAGAGAGCTCTTCTTTTCGCCTCCGAGCTAAGCAATAGAAAACACAAGGATTGCAGAAGCGTACAACCCATCATCGCCGGCAAATCCAGTGCTCAGAGACAGTCAAAAGTTGGACTAGAAGCACAATATGAAAGCAAAAAACCTCTATGCCATGCCTCGTTGAAGATGAAATGACCAGACCCAACACCTGAGAAGAGAGATACGTAATAATATAGGACATAGATGGGAATTCGGCTCACAGCGGAGGAAGAATTGTAGCTGCGATGGTAAGACATTAGGTGATTTATGCGATAGCCTTTTCGCCAGACGGAGGAGGGGGAGGGAGCTATTAATCGTCGAAGTCAGCCACAATCGTAACAAAAAGCAAATGAGAGACTCCATACCTCTAGTTTTGTGTTGTCCGCCATCATCCTCTGGAACCCAATACCAACACCCTCAATGACGGCCAGGAAAACAGCGCACATGATGGCAGAGTTCCTGGCAGCCTTGACACCACCACGAACAGCCAGAGCGCCACCAGTGAAGAAACCAGCAATGACTGCAGAGAAGAAGTTGGTTAGAACACGTCATTCCAAGTGTCGTCATGTACAATGAGGAAGTTAACGTACTAGCATTGTAAGGATCCTCCTTCTTCCGGATACCCTTAATCGCGCAATCGAACGTCGAGAACAGACCACCCCAGACACCAAAGTTACCACCGAGGACGGGCGCTCGAGCCTTGATGGCTGTGATGGCACCTATCCGTCGCTCGCCGTAGGGGCTGTTTCTGAAACCCTTCACACCGTGCCAAACCGCACCACCGATAGCCTAAGTCAACGAATCGAATTAGTTTTCACGTCTTCGCGATGGAGTAATTGAGTTAACAGCAGTGTGGACGTACACCCATGCAGAAAGCACCACCGAAATCGCTCAGGGCGACCCAGGGACAGGGATCTCTCGAGTGATCCATTGTGAAATAGAAAGTAAGGAAATAGAAGACAGTAAAAGGAAAAGGTTAAAAATCGAGAGTGTCAAGTAGCCAGACGTCTCAATAGATCACTTTTAACGGAGTAATCTCGATGGTCCGGTGAAGCGTCAAAAGCCGCCGTCGACTGTTCGGAGGGAGTCGTGGTGGGGGACGATTGATAGACTGTATATGTCGACAGCAATATAAAACAGTTCAATATTGCTTCAAGATAGTGGAAACAGCAGTTGAAGAGCTGCTTATATGGCCGGGGACGAAAAGTGGACAATGGAGAAGGTTTGCGGAGCGCAACAGGTTCTTTAGGCTTTTTTTCGCAGGAAAACGTGACTTTTCGGACTGGGAGGACGGTCACGTGCAGATAACCCGGGGCAGCCCGACTGCTGCAAAAGGAAAATTGCTAACTGGCTTTGCCACTCCGTCTTATTTTCTACGTGCTTTTTGCGTCAAGGTTTTCACACCTGCGGCAAATGATGAACTCAGTTTGTTTAATCATGCAGGGGTGTTGCTAGCAGAGAAAGTTTTCATCACAGCAAGATCCCTTAATTTGGCATCTCCGATTATCCGAATTCTCATAGAAAGGTATCTACCAGCAATTGGGGTATAAGATCAACAAGAGAATATGTACAAGGATGTCAGTAGTAAGAACGTTTAAGAAGGTAGATTCCATATGAAATTCAAGGCGCCCCCTTCATATGCTGGGAATTGCCCCCCGCTGCTAATGCTGAACGGCGCCATGGATGGGTCGAATGGAAGCGACAGCCAGTCATCAGCAGCGATGTCATTCAATGACGGTGTAAACCCCATATCTGACATATTCTGGGGAACTGGAGCATTCATTATCAGCGGGGCATTCTCGTCACTTGTGGCACTTGCGTATGATGGAGGCACCATCGAGTGCCGTGTCGTTGACCCACGCCGTCTTTTGAGACTCTTACATGAGGCGACTAAATTTCGTCGCAAGCGCGATACATGAGTCTCCAGCAAAGTAGCGTAGCGTGTGCTTAGGTGGATGTCATCCAAGGCATTTGATCTCAACGCTTGTATTGTTCTTTCTAGGACATCCAGCGACTCACGGAGCTTTGCTTGACGCGTTCCCAAGCTGAGTGCTTTCATCAAGAATATGGATGCGCTTGTAATCCTGACGAATATGCGAACTGGTGAGAACCGTAGTGCCCCGATGTCAGCAAGCTGCGTGACCTTCTCCAGTATCTGGCAGCATCCATCTATGACTTCTTGGATGTATTCATAGTCAATTGGGTCGATGTTCATGGGACGAACTTCTTCCTCATCTGCGTTTCCATCTGCGATCGCACGTTCAACTACAGCCTGCATTCCAACAGAGTGTGTATATACGCGGACAAAGTGGTATTCGATGAAGATATCGTCATAGAAGGGTTTGTCATGCACTTCAGTTGAAGTCAGCTGTCTTCACGAAACCAAGAAAAAAAAAGCCTCATCTGGATGTATGACAACTTACATTGCGGCTGGAGATATCTCTCCTTCCACTTGTCAAGTAGTGGACGGAAATGGTCCAGGAGGTCAATATATCGTCCACTCTGAAGCTGCTGTCGTGCGAAAGCAACAGATGGAAAGAACATGTCCGTGACAGATTTGGCGAGTTTCGTCAGGTCCATCCATGAGTCCATGAATGTGAGCCATTCTTCCCCATATTGGCTTAATTCTCTAGATGTCTGTCGATTGAGAATTGAATGGCTCAAGCCTTGCGGCATGAGCGATACGCATCCTATCCGCCACGCTAACTGATTGATATATACGTACAACAACCGTTGTGCCCGCTGCCGTCGCAGGCGCATCTGATCCTTTGTCATGAACCGTTCGTAGGCGACAAAAGCATCGCGTGCTTTATCTCCGGTCTCGTAGATGCCCAACTCATGCGCGAGAGATAATGCGGACCCCAGAAGCATCCACGACATCTGGTCAGATCTTTTAGCAGGCTCACTCATGTCTTTTGCCCATCGCTTTGCTGATGAGTTGCTGCCGTCATCTCCGTATTCTGTGGTCTCCAGATCCATGGTAACCAGATCGGCATCCCATCCATCACTTTCTGGAGGAAAGTGGAGTGAGCGTGGATGCCAGTCAGACATGAGCAGGAGCGCTTCTATTGTGCCTATGTTTCGAATCTTTGGCTGCGAAGAAAGCTCTTGCCCAAAGATGAGTCTCGTCACCAGCTGCTGGCAGTGTTGCCAGAGTCTGTGATGAATAAAGAAATTCCGCGACTGGCCGCCAGCACCAGGGAGTACATGGTATCGGGACGATATCATCAGGATTGTACAGCAGAGGACAGGGTCGTGTGCGATCAACCAACGGTGGTTCTTATGATCGGCATAGAAGTCTGTCAGTACTGGAGATAGTATAGACATGTTTTTGAAAAAGCTATGACCATTCTATCGTCAGCAGAAGTCTACATTGAGTTTGTACAAGGGTTACGAACAGATCAATAAACGTCACAGCTTCCCTAGCACTGAACCATCCCATCCTAACGAATCGACATGCCTCCCAGACACTCAAAACGTCCTTCGATACGTGTGAGAGCTCGACCGGGCGCATGGCTTTTTTCAGCACTTCTGGGGGAACCGTGAGTTCTATTTGCTTCGAGGAACCTTCAGAAGTGGCGGGATGACCTGCTCGATGCTGCTCATTTTCAGGCAAAGAGTCCGACTCTATCATACTGTCTTCCTGACTTTGTGCGTTGGCGGCCTCAAAAAGAATGTTGAGGGCATCATTTCCACTGGAAACGACAGTGCGCATCATTGAGTTGGCCAGATTCGATGTAGATTGAGTCCTGTTTGATCGGGCATCATTATCGTATGACTGGTGTGAGCTGTCTGCCGCATCTGCACGACTGGCGCCATGGCTGACAGGACTAGGGCCCTGAACAGGCGCTGGCACGGCCTCTTCACCTGTAGCAACTATGTTGTGTGGGGCAACGCTGGTCAGCCTGAGCTGCGTCCTTGAAGGAGATGCAGCTTCATCTTCTGATCGCCCTGTACCTTCGCTGTGAGTTTGATCCTGGAACATCGAGACACCTCATAGAAATGTAATCTGCATGATGGACCTGGGCCACTACTAACCTCGCTTCTTCACCCGCTCCCAGGCCCTCTTCTCGTCGAACAGACACGGCTTCTGTTCTCTGCGACATTTCGCACAAGGAGGACCAAGAGGAAGTCCATCCGGACCCGTCCCCAGATCACACTTGGCCTTCCGTTGCCGGCAGGATATACAGGCCTTGTAGGTCCGTTGATACGTTCGGTCGGGATGGTTTCCGTGTTGGGAGGGCCTCCGGATCTCCATGACTAGGTAGTACCAGCTTATTAGTGTGACCAATCACATCATGGTAATTAAGTCAATTCATAATGCGGTAGACAATACTGCTAGGAACGCGCGGTAGGGAGCTTTGAAAACTGGGCCTTCGGATTGGGTAAGCTGGAAATGGGACATTGCATCGAGATGGGAAAAGGAACAGAATGCGGGAATTTTGAAGTAGCCGTCAATTTCCGCCCACGGAGCAATGAAATATCCGGCAGTGCATCTTCTTCAAACAAACAACCATCAACGATGATGCAATCTCTAGGATGAGATTATTGTTCCCAAAGCAGAATTGAAGACTGACACAGGCACCTCAAGCTTATTTTTACGCATATTCAGGTGATTTTACTTTGCTGTGGGCCACTTTTCACACGGCACTGCCACTACCTGAGTTTTCCGAGGCATATCTACCTGATTCCTGTACCTCTAGTCCTTGATTATGCATTTACGCATGGCCTGAGTTAATTTTAGAATGATATATTGATATATTTCAAGAACAGAAAGACTCAAGACTTTGTAGCCGTGTATACTCCACGAGTGCATGTCTGAGTAACTTTATAGTGGGAACATTTGCTAGCGGAACCATCTCCATTTCGAGGATGTCCTTGTCATACAAAGCAGTGCTAGTGCTACCGAGTGAGATGCCGAGAGAGTCCCCTTTCTCAATAGCTCAGCATCTCCAATGGATCTACGTTACTGTTTCTCTCCGGATAGAGCTAAGGCCACATGTCGAATAACCTCGGAAATGCGCGGAAATTCGAGCGCCCAGTTTCGGATGTCTGTAGCAGCGGAAGTATTCCGTTTGGGGAGGCTATTTTATGCAACACCAAGACCATTATCGGAGCAATCAACCGTGTTCATCTCGTCAGAGGACACAAAGAGGGATATACAAAGGAAGCGTGTCTTATGTAAAGCATATGCGTAGAATACCGTTGTTTATACCCCACGTAACGTCCACACCTCCGCATGTAAACGATCAGGAAACCTACATGTAAAGCTCATTGCCTTTGACCTACCCGAGTGGTACTCTCTCATAATCCAAGTTAACATTATCTTTTGCATCAACAGTCACCATGGCAGACTCAACACCCCCCAAAGTCACCCTATACACCTATTTCCGCTCCTCCTGCTCAGCCAGACTCCGCATCGCCCTCAACCTCAAATGCATCCCTTACACCCCAATAGCCGTCAACCTCCTCAAAGGCGAGCAATCTTCCACAGACAACATCGCGCTCAATCCCTCCGGCACAGTTCCCACCCTGATCGTGGAACACCACTCCAAAGACCCCGTGACCATCACGCAATCCCTCGCAGCACTCGAGTACCTCGAAGAAATCACCCCAGCCTCATCCCACGCCCTCCTCCCACCAGCATCCAACCCCGAGGCCCGCGCAGTCGTCCGCACCCTGGTAGACATCATGTCCTGCGATGTCCAACCTGTGACTAATCTCCGGATTCTGAAGCGGGTGGCGCCATTCGGCGTGGACCGGGCCGCGTGGTCGAAGGATCTGATCGAGGATGGCTTCCGCGCGTACGAGGCCATCGCGGCGAAGAGTGCGGGGCTTTTCAGCGTGGGTGATAGCATTACCATGGCGGATGTGTGTCTGCTTCCTGCGGTGTGGGGTGCTGAGAGGGCGGGGGTGAAGGTGGAGGAGTTTCCTACGATCTATCGGGTTGCACAGCGGTTGGAGGAGGAAGATGCGGTGAAGAGGGCGCATTGGAGGACGCAGCCTGATACGCCGGAGGAGTTTCGAGTGAGTTCGTCTTGAGACAATAGGGTGGTTTAAGATGTTGGGACAAAGCTTCTGTGTGCACGTTTGAAATGAATATCAACTCTTTAGCGCGCTGGACTACTCGATAGTTGTGATGGTCTCAAGATGAGGAAAAGGTCTATTTCATAGTCATAGCTAGCTCATGAAGCATCCTTTTGGGTTAAAAAAAAAAAAAAAAAGGAAAAAGACCTGGTATGTACAGCTTAGAACTCCAACTTGAGGGCTGGAAGAATTGTGCCAACGCAGTCGCCAAAGCCAACGTAGTTTCCTTCCGTACCAGCCATGCCTCGCAGAACGACAGTGTCTCCATCCTCCAAGAACATTCGCTCCGAGCCATCAGCCAGCTTCAGAGGGTTCTTGCCGTTGGTCTGCTCGAGGAGACTGCCCTGAGTCTGATTCTCCTTGCCAGAAATGGTACCGCTGCCAAGCAGGTCGCCGGTGTTCATGTTGCAACCTGTGATGGTGTGGTGTGCCAGCATCTGAGGGAACGAGTAGAGCAGGTTGTTGGCGTTGGTGCGAGAGATCAAAGTAGGCTTTCCACCAGCGTTCGTGATTTCAACCTCGAGAGGGATGTCGTAGGCATTAAGTTCGCGCTTCTCGCGCAGGTAGGGCAGTAGCGATTCGCGGTTGCCGGGCTCCAGACCGGCCGTGCGGAAGGGCTCCAAAGCATCGAGTAAGACCACCCAGGGTGTGATCGTGGTGGCAAAGTTTTTCGCGTTGAAAGGCCCCAGAGGAACGTACTCCCAAGCCTGAATATCACGGGCCGACCAGTCGTTCATCAATACGACGCCGAAGATATGGTCCTCGGCCTCATCGATAGAAACGGGCTGGCCCAGCTCATTACTCTTGCTGACAAAAGCGGCAAGCTCCAATTCGATATCCAATCTCTTGCAGGGGGAAAAGGTCGGCACCTTGGGGTTAGCGGCGGGGTTGGCTAGGATTTGGCCATTGGGACGGCGGATAGGAGTGCCTGAAGTCACGACTGAAGAGGCACGGCCGTGATATCCAACAGGGAGATGCTTGTAATTGGGCTGCAGAGCGTTCTCAGGACCGCGAAACAGCACACCAATGTTGTAAGCATGGTTGAGCCCCGCGTAGAAGTCGGTGTAGTCGCCAATGTGCATGGGAAGATGGTTTGTCACTTCTGACAAGGGCAAAAGCGCCTCCTTCTGCAAGGTGGAGTTGTCCTTGAGAATCTGAGGGAATGGCGTATCGGCACGGAAGATGCTTTGAATATATTCACGCACTTGACGGTGCACGGGACGGCCGAGCGCTGCAAACGCGTTCAGAGTTGGCTGGCCGAATACGCTGAGATGGGGCTGGATGACGGGGAGCTGCGAGAAACCGCCCGACGAGGCGAAGATGCTCAGGTTCAGCGCATAGTCACCGATCGCAACTGCAGCCACAGGAGATGTGACCTTTGCAGAGGAGATAATACCAAAGGGAATATTCGCCAGAGAAAAGGGCGAGTTCTTGGGAATCTGAAGCCACGAAGCCATTATGATGAGGACGGTAGCGCAGAGAAAATGGGTATCAACGAGGAGAACAAAGAGATCAAAGAATCTTCAAATGACCTTGCTCAAGATTATCCAGAGCGAGCCAACGATATTAAAAACAAATCATTTTCAATTCTGTCTGCCCCTCATACCTGGGACTCCTATTGATCCCCTCCATGGAGAGACACTGCGGAAACAACCCGCGTCGCCCGCTTATCGCCGGCTGTTGTTGACGTCTTCCCCTCCGTCACCAATTCCGCTGTTCTACCCACCCCCGCAGTCTAGATGGCCCATCACCTCATCAGCTTTGCGGACGGGAATGCCGTGAAGATGGCCGCAACTGGTCTTGACGGCTTCTTGCATTTTCGTGCTCACGAAGTATTCGGCTCTTAAGAAGGCCCGCTAGTCCCTCTCAGCTGGACCTGATCGTAGTGTACCTTCCTCTCACGTGTCCGTAAATTTGCAGATATCCGACATCATGCCTGTCACACAGTTCTCTCACCCCGATCCCTATTCGTACCAGACTGGCTTCGACTCCTATCATGAGTATGGGCGAAAATCATTTGCGTCGAATTCTCGGAGCTGACTGAGCCTCTAGGACGGAAGCCGTCGAAGGCGCCCTCCCGGTTGGGCAGAACTCCCCTCAGAAGGCACCCTACGGACTTTACGCTGAGAAGCTGTCTGGGACCGCTTTTACTGCTCCAAGGCATGAGAACAAGCAGACCTGGGTCTACAAAATCCTCCCTGCTGCTGCGCATGAGAACTTCAAGGCCGAAGATGCCGACTCCTATCACACCAGCATGACCACAGAGACGCACAAGCTACATCATATCCCCAACCAGCTGAGATGGGATCCATTTGACTTGGATGAGACGGTGGACTGGGTCCACGGTCTGCATCTTGTTGCTGGCGCCGGAGACCCCACGTTAAAGCATGGTCTGGGTATTATCTTGTATGCTGCTGGGAAGGATATGGGAAAGGAGGCCTTTTACTCGGCTGATGGAGACTTTCTGATTGTCCCTCAGCATGGTGTGTTGGACATCCAGACGGAGCTGGGAAGTCTCATGGTTCGCCCTAAGGAAATTTGCGTGATTCCTCGTGGTGTCAGGTATGTCATTTCTTGTCCCGCCACACTAACATCAATAGCATGGATGACTGACGGTGGTACAGATACCGTGTCACCCTTCCAGCGGGTCCTGTAAGAGGATACATTTGCGAACTTTACCAAGGCCACTACCAGTTACCGGAGCTGGGGCCCATCGGTTCTAACTGTCTTGCCAATGCGCGCGACTTCCAAGCCCCTGTTGCGTCTTTCGAGGATGAGGAAGAACCGACCGAGTGGCGGCTTTACAGCAAGTTCAACAACACCCTCTTTTCCGCACGCCAGGACCACACTCCCTTTGACGTCGTCGCCTGGCACGGCAACTATTACCCTTACAAGTACGACCTTGGTCGTTTCAACACCATCGGCTCCATTTCCTTTGATCACCCCGACCCCTCAATCTTCACCGTCCTTACCGGACCATCAGACCATGCGGGTACCGCTATTGCGGATTTCGTGATCTTCCCGCCTCGCTGGCTGGTTGCAGAGAACACCTTCCGTCCTCCGTGGTATCACCGGAACACCATGTCCGAATTCATGGGGCTGATCTGCGGCAATTACGATGCGAAGACGGGCGGCGGTTTCCAGCCCGCGGGCGCCAGCTTACACAATGTCATGAGTGCTCATGGTCCCGACGCGGATGCTTTCGAGGGTGCCAGCAATGCTGAGCTGAAACCTCAGAAGGTTGGCGATGGAAGCATGGCATTCATGTTTGAGAGGTATGTACTGATAAGCTACATTGAAAGATTCGAATACTGACCATCTATTTAGCTGTCTCATGGTTGGCGTATCCGAATGGGGTCTCAAAACCTGCCAGAAAGTGCAGGAACAATACAACGAGCACAGCTGGCGTCCACTGAAGAGGCATTTCAAGAACCCTAACAAGGCTTAATAGGAAGATAAAACTTATGTGTCGCCGCTATTGCGTTTCTTGTAAATTGACTATATACCATCTGTCTTTCTATGATTAGCGAGCGCGACTTTAGCTAGATCTAAAGAAATGCTCTTTCAAAGCACTTATCGGTAATTCTTAACTCTACTAGGTCGAAGATGCTATATATCACCAAAACTCTATCAGTGTCACAGTGCTTTAATCGAAATCATGAATTGTGGCGCCAGAATACAGATCATGGTATATTTACAAATGCATTATAAAATCCAGCTCATCAAATAGCCCCCTCAACCTCCTTCCTCAACGCCTCCTTAACAATCGCTCCACACATCTTCGCATACGGATTCGTCTGCACAGCCAACTGCTGGGCAACCTTATTCCCATACCTCCCTCCAAAGAAGAAATCCCTACTCGCCATCTCCTCGAGTTGATCAGGCCCCATATCCCGCAACTTATCCGGGCCCCCTACCATCTCATTACCGTTTGCATTCTTCTTCAACCTCGCAGCCTTGAGCAACAGATATCCACGATGCGTATGCGAGTCCGCGAGGATACGCGCCTGAACCGTCGAGACCGGATCAGCAGGCGACCTGGGCGTGCAGAGCGAGATCGCTTGCCCTAGATCAGAGAAGAGGCGCGAGGCTGACTTAGTGTTTCCAGGGGTGAAGATAGCTTCGTCTGGGTCTGTCGATGCCTCTGCTGTCTTTTCGATGTGTAGGCGGAGGGCCTGGGCTCTGTTGACGTAGGCGGATGGGTAAGTCGGGTGCTCGATGATCAGGGCGTCGAGGTCCCTGATAGCGGATGTGATGGTGTCCATTGAGACATTGTCGGATTGGAGGCTGCGGATGATGCTCAGCTCGCGGGCTTTAAGGGACTCGTGGTCGCTCGCTGAGATGTGGAGGTATTCTGGGAATGGGGAGAGTGATGGGTCGATTGTGACGGCTGAGGAAGGGGATGATTCGGCGTCGAAGAGAGCTTGTAGGACTGCAGAGTCGTTGGATGTCAGGGAAGGCCGACTGGGTTGAATTGTAGTGCCTGAGGCCATCTTGTTTGGTGTTTCGATATCGCAGCTGAAGAAATGGATGATGCAGTAGTGTCACGGATCGTTGTTCAATGAACAAAACAATTATTCCAAGAGCTTGAACACTTATCTGGAGAGAGTCGTCGGCCTTGAGTATGAGCTCATCAAACCGATAATATAAATTATTTATCAATATGATTAGGATACTACCGGCTCTTTGACGCTCCCCCATCGTCCATGTGATCGTCACCGAGCCCCGGATATTTGTTCAAATACCCGCGCCCACCCGGGTATCTCATCTAAATATCCGCCCGCAGCCGCCTCGAGCCAAAAAGAGTCGTCCGTTTGGTTGAGTGAACATCCTGAATGGGTCTCGTGCCTATCGATGCCATCATGATTAAGCACGGAAGCTTCAAAGACGTTATACACTGGGAGATGTGGCTTTTATCCGTGCTCGGATGTTTGGTTCACCTTATAAGAGATATGGCTCGTCCGGTCATGACAATGGTTCAAGCTCAACAGACAAACCGAGATCCAACAGCCTTTCCAATAGCTCTTATATCGCAGGCTAATCTCTTACTTGACAAGAACAACTTATCATCTCTTCCCACTTGACTTCAATATGGCTCCCTCGGCTATCTCTACGAGCCCTCCACCAACCGATCGGGTTTCCTCTAGTCTTGCCAGCTACAAAGGCTATGACCATGTGCACTGGTACGTAGGCAACGCAAAGCAAGCCGCCTCGTACTACATTACCCGCATGGGCTTCAAGCGCGTCGCCTACCGTGGTCTCGAGACAGGATGCCGCAGCGTCTGCTCCCACGTCGTCCGCAACGGCGACATCACCTTCATCCTCACTTCGCCTCTCCGGTCGCTGGATCAGATCGACCGCTTCCCTCCTGAAGAGCAGGAGCTGCTCAAGGAGATCCATGCTCATCTCGAGAAGCACGGTGACGGGGTCAAGGACGTTGCTTTTGAGGTCGACTCGGTGGACTCCGTCTTTTATGCTGCGACGAACAATGGTGCCAAGGTTGTTTCTCACCCTCGGACCCTTGAGGATGCCGATGGCCAGGTGCGAGTGGCAACTATCCAGACTTATGGCGAGACCACGCACACTTTACTGGAGAGGGGCTCGTATCACGGCGCATTCCTGCCAGGATATCGCGTGGAAACCGGGGCAGAGGACCCGATCTCTCAGCTGCTGCCTGGCGTGCACTTGAACCGGATTGACCACTGCGTCGGAAACCAGGACTGGGATGAAATGGACAAGGTTTGCGAATAGTAAGTGGCCCGCTTTAGCCATAGATCATCCTGGTGCTGACTGTTATCAGCTACGAGAAGACTCTCGGTTTCCATCGTTTCTGGTCTGTTGACGACAAGCAAATCTGCACGTGAGTATTATCTGTTAACAAGACATTTCAGCGGAAGACTAACGCAACTTCCAGGGAATACTCCGCTCTCAAGAGCATTGTGATGGCCTCGCCGAACGAGGTGGTGAAGATGCCCATCAACGAACCCGCCAAGGGCAAGAAGCAATCCCAGATCGAAGAATACGTCGACTTCTACAACGGCGCAGGCGTCCAACACATTGCTCTCCTCACCAACGACATCATCCGAGACATTACCAACCTCAAGGCTCGCGGTGTTGAATTCATCAAGGTTCCAGACACATACTACGAAGACATAAAGGTGCGGCTGAAGAAAGCTGGCCTGACTCTCCACGAGGACTTTGAGACAATTCGCAGCCTGGACATCCTCATTGACTTTGACGAGGGCGGATATCTGCTGCAGCTGTTTACCAAGGTATGTCACTTTCCGTTCAGCAGGCAGCCGCAGTCAGTCACGCTAATAGAGAACAGCACTTGATGGATCGTCCCACCGTCTTCATTGAGATCATCCAGAGACACAACTTCTCCGGCTTTGGCGCCGGCAACTTCAAATCGCTCTTTGAGGCCATTGAACGGGAACAGGCCCTCCGTGGCAACCTT